TATGCATGGGTTATGTCTGAGCTCCCTTACTGCGGGGAGCACCTTTCTTGGTGAATTCAGCTAACAAAGTGTGATTTATACCTCATCAAGTGACTGCATGATATTTGAATGGAGAAGCTCATAAAAATCTGTTTCTTAGTTCAAGCAACAGTCTTCACTGTCTTCTGGACATGTTTGAGGCTCAGCACTGTCTGAGCTTCCAAAGAAAAAGCCAGCCAAGTGCTGTAACAGCTTGACACAGCCCCTCACTGTTTTGCCATTAATTCCATCTTAACCAGTGCCCCGGATTCAATGCATGCTGCAAGGAGAAAGAGGCGAGTTTCTCCTTTGACCTAGATGAAGGACAGCTATTTTCGCGTTATTATCTTGCACTTCTGTTACATTCTGCATTACACAAGGTAGGCCTGTTCACTCTGCCTTTTATCACTACGTGGCACGATACCTAGAAGTGTACTCACAGACTGAGATCACATCTGGATTAGACTTTCTAAAAAAAAAAAGGAAGAAAGGAATGTTGGCAACCCTGCTGATTTACTTAATGGCTGAGTAATGGAGTCTCCCTCTTTCTCTTGCTGTGCTGGCTCTGCATGGTTCCTTCACTTACCATGAGTCCTTGGTGTCAGTTCAGAGCCCTGGGTTCAACATGTGGTGCAAAGCAAGGTGCTGGGATAACACAGCTCCAGGGCAAGCTGTTAGCAACAGAGCTTGTTACCATCTCCAGCTGACAGCAGCAAGTCGAAAAGAAAGTATAGTGGCCAAATCAAGCCTTAGGCAGCTTCATGAAAACCTCCTGAACCTGGGGTGCATGTAGGAAGGCACCTAAACTCTGGTGCTTAGGAAGAAGGGACTTACATCCAGACTAGGTAACCCCTTAGAGCATGTGTGTGCCTTCCTCGGCTTGGCAGGTAGAGAGCTGGCACTCTGACAGAAGATGCAGCTGGCAAATTGGTACAGGGAATGCTTTTTCCAGATCTGCCACTTCAAAAAATGCATTTAAAATCTAACTCAGCCTACTGACCACATTCCCCATTCTCTGTTTTCAAGCGAGATCAGAACACAGAGATAACACAGAGTCAGCTTGCACATTTTGCTTGTTCATTGGTTATGTGTTTCTAAGGGTATGACTGACTCTTTTCCCCAGCTGCCAAGTTTTTGCAGGCATAATAAATGTTAAAATGGTTACTAGCTGAGTTTAAATGAACTTGTCTTTTTGGGGGTTTGAATCATCAAGAAATCCCACCATGACACTGCTGGCAAAAATATTCTCACAGATGCTGTATGCAGCACTGTAAAGAAAGCCACATGGATTGTTGGAGCAAGCTGGAAATAATACACTTTTCATCACAGTGCTGGAAATGGTTCTGCCATTCTCTCCCATACACTCTTCACATAAACCCTTGTTTGGGAGTCTAATTAGATGCTTGTATAAACAAAACAATAATTTCCACTAGTTCTAACACTCAACAGGCTCAAAACAGTCAATGAACATTAACTGACTTGACACTTCACAGAAAAAGCAGGAAGGAATAATGCATTTTTGCACATTTAGAAGTGTACAAAGAAAAGCTGCAGTTGTGAGCATAGAGAAGAGGAGAGCCACAGCAAGGCCTATTTTATGAACAAGTATGTCTACAGATGAGCTCTAATTAGTGAAGACAGAGCAGAGCTGTAGGAGAGCTGCTGGGACTTCCACATGCTTGGGGGATGCT